AGAGAGAGAGAGAGAGAGAGAGGAAATATCCAGTTGGTGCACCAACAATCACTTACAGACTCTGCGATGATAAGTAAACAGCTGCCAGCACGAAGTCGTTAACTGGACATTGCTGGGCACTGCTGACCGGTCGCATGACCTATGGACCAATCAATGCAACATCGTGCGGCCTGGAGGCAAACATCGAGATAATGCCGCCAGCAAGGGTTGTGTCCCTTTTTTGAGCAGGTACTTCTTGACCACTGCTTGTCAACGTTTTTTTTTTATAGCCAGCGCCCACTTTTGCCACCTTTAAAAGGCTAGAATTTTCGTACCGCCTACCTTTATGTCTTTTCAAGCGGGGCATGAAATTATACGTATGCGAGGCACCGTGGGGAAATCAGGTGCTCGACAAAATAGTGACATCAAAGAAACTGGCATAATATTTATGGCCATATGGGGATTTTTTTTTCTTTCGAATTTTGTTATTTTTAACTCAACACTTTTCATGTCCATTAAAAAACATATTCCTGTGTAGATTTTACCGAAAGACGTTGATCGAGAGAAATGAAAGAGTATATAAGCTAGCAGGCTCCGCAAACATAGAGGGAGTGCTTACCCTTGACCCTCCAACTGTAATAGCCCTTGTCCGAGAAAACGTAGCCAACAGCCGTGACGAGGACTCCTTCACGAAGGAGGTTGTGATTGCGAAAGGAGAGCAGCTTGGTGAAGGTAGGAAGAGCAGGCTTCGTGACCCCATCAGACGCTACACCAACCAGTTGATGATGGAGACAATCAGCCTGCCCACACCAAAATGGACCCTCATGAAGAGGGGCGAGGAAGCATGGAGCATCCCGTCTTCCTAAGACTCCAGTTGTAGATTCAAGTAATTCAAGTAAGTACGTTGATCGAAGCCACAAAAATAGGAAAGTTTGCCGTTTCAAAGGACAATTAATCTTTGGAAGTCGTCAAACTTTGGAGGTCATTTTCTAGATAATTTTACATCTAACACTAAGCCACCCTCACCTCCTTCAATCGCAAATTTCTCAACTCTTATTCCAAATCGACAGACTTTTTTTCACCAAAAGCAAGACAAATGAACAGGCTTTGAGATTATACCAATAACTCAACATGCCCAAAACTTGTAGAGTGCCAGATTCCAATGCATCGCAACACATATCTGCCAGGACCCAGGTCATCCCATCACCCACCAACAATACCAAATGGCCCACTAGTGGACGATATCGCCCAGATCGACATGATATCAATGTATGTATCTAGTTTAACGTTATTATTGTGTTTAATACTGTTCATTTATATTATGTATGTGACTGTATTCCTGCGTATGTGCGCTTGTCTGTGTGTGAATGTGTGTGTGTGTGTGTGTGTGTGTGTGTGTGTGTGTGTGCGTTTGTGCGTGTGTGTGTGTGCATGTGTGTGTACTTGGTGAAACATCAAACCAATGTGCCAGGATCTGGACAATAAAGATGTATCTTATCTTATCTTACCTTATCTTAAGCGCTGGGCTTGACCCTCTCTTATAGCAGCAGTTGAAATTGATCTTCATTTCTTTCTGTCAGGATCACATTAAGTGGTTACTTCATCGGATCAAATTACTTCCTACTTCTCTTGACCATATTTGTTTAGATCTATTTACTTTCATTCGCATCCTCTTTCTCCCATTTTTTGACCCGGCTGTCTTATCATACTTTTATCTTGTTCATTTTGAGCTTCTTGTTCTTACTTATTTCCTGTTCTTTTTGTTATCGTTCTTGCTTGTGTCCTGTTCTTCTCGTTTCTGTTTTTGTACTTCATGTTCTTGTTCCTTTTTCGAGTCTTCTTCTGTTCTTTTTCCTGTCCTGTTCATGTTTTTGCTTGTATCTGGACCTTGTTCTTTTTTATCTTGCCCTTGTTGTTGTTGTTGTTGTTGTTGTTGTTGTTGGTGTTGTTGTTTTTCTTCTTCTTCTTCTTCTTCTTCTTCTTCTTCTTCTTCTTC